CTGTTATGCCCGAGTGGCTGTGAGATAAATGAGTGAGAGAGGTTGAGAACCTGATAGAGAGGATATTATATGTATATATTATGGATCGGGCTGCACGCCGGATCGATACTTACATGGATCGCGTTGCACGCCACAGCAATATATATATATATTGGAACGGGCTGCACGCCGCAGCGATATGACGCTTGGGCTGTAGGAGCCCCTCCGGAGTCTGTATACCCCCAGTGAGCGTAGTCGGCTATAAATTACGGATCGAGCTGCACGCCGCAGCGGTCACTATGATTTCTATTATTCTGAGATATTAATGAGCCTGAGTGCTGAGAGTGAGTACTGAGTGACGAGAGTTGAGTCAGGAGTGACTGAGAGGCTGCCCGAGAGGCCATATTCTGAGCGATACCTTGCCCGAGCGGCCCAGTTATGATATTTTCACTGATTTCACTATTCTTTTAAAATAAGCCTCTGTTGAAAATTGCTAAGTATATGATTTCAAGTATTTAAACTGAAATTGATGATTTTATGACGAAACTGGTTTTAAAATGTGGAGTTTGATCTGTTATCATGTTGTTTATTCATTTATATGATTTTTAACTGCTCGTCACTGCTTTCAGCCCTTATTTACTTTAGTTACTTACTGAGTTGGCATACTCACGTTACTCCCTGCACCTTGTGTGCAGATCCAGATGTCCGAGTGGCGGAGTGAGAGTCCTCAGCTTATCCAGAATTTGCCGGAGATTGCAAGGTAGCTGCATGGCATCAGCCCTGCTTTCCTCCTTTCTATCTTGCTCTTTTCCGCATTTTTAGACTTATGATGTATTAGACAGACGGTTATGTATTTAGAGGCTCCAGACTCGTGACACCAGATGTTTGGGCTGTGTTGTCTTATATTTTATCAGTTTCCGCACATTTTTTAGTTGTTTTAAACACTGCTTATGAAAATTGGTATTTAAACCCGTGCTAGAAAAATGGCTTTATAAAAGAAAAAGGGTTGTGATTAAATGTTTCGGTTGGCTTGCCTAATGTGATAGGCACCATCACGACCGGTATTTGGGGTCGCGACAAGTTGGTATTAGAGCCTAGGTTACATAGGTCTCGCGAGCCATGAGCCGGTTTAGTAGAGTCTCGCGGATAGGTACGGAGACGTATGTATTTATCCTCGAGAGGTTGCAGAACCTTTAGGAAAAACTTCATATTCTTGAAATTCTTGTCGTGCGAATCTGTTGATCCGAGTACTAAACTTCTGTTATTTCATTCTCTCACAGATGGTGAGGACATGTGCTACTGGGAAGGATGGACGACCACCAATACCACCAGTTGGGGCCACTAGAGGCCGAGGACGCGGTCGAGGCCATGGTAGAGGAAGAGCAGCTAGGGCAACACCTGCAGACCCACCCGCTGCCCTAGTTCAGGATCAGGTCCCAGTTGTGGACGCTGCGGCAGCACCAGCTCGGGCACCAGCTGTGCCTATTCTGATTCTAGGCCTTCAGGAGGCTTTAGCTCAGATTTTATCAGTATGTACCGGTTTGGCTCAGGCGGTCTCAGTTACTACGGCCACAACTACTTCTCAGGCAGGGGGAGGCACCCAGACTCCCGTTGCTCGCACACTTGAGCAGGTTGTGCAGGGACTTCAGACACCGGGGCCACCTCCAGCCCAGCCGGTTGCACCAACTCAGGAGTATGTGGTACCAGTTATGCCGGACGACGAGCAGCGTCGACTTGAGAGGTTTGGTAGGCTTCAACCTCCGACCTTCAGCGGTGCAGAGGGCGAGGATGCCCAGGGTTTCCTAGATAAGTGCCAGAGGATGCTTCGTACAACGGGTATTCTAGAGACCAGTGGTGTATCATTTACTACCTTTTAGTTTTCTGGGTCTGCCTTCACTTGGTGGGAGGCGTATGAGAGGCGTAGGCCTGTTGGTGCAGCGCCCCTTACCTGGCAGCAGTTCTCTGTTCTCTTTCTAGAGAAGTACGTGCCACAGTCTCGCCGAGAGGAGCTGCGCAGGCAGTTCGAGCAGTTGCGTCAGGGAGAGATGACTGTGATACAGTATGAGATGCGGTTCTCTGAGTTAGCTCGTCATGTGGTCTGGCTGGTTCCCACAGATCGAGAGAGGATCAGGAGGTTTGTTGATGGCCTCACATATCAGCTTCGTATTCTCATGACTAGGGAGAGGGTGACAGGTGCTACTTTCAAGGTGGTTGTTGACATCGCCCGTGAGATTGAGTCGGCTCGTCGCCATGAGCGAGAGGAGAGGGAGGCCAAGAGGCCTCGGGGATCTGGTAGCTTTAGTAGTGCTCGTTCGAGGGGTCAGTTCCAGCAGGGCAGAGGCCGTCCATTCAGGCAGGCTCATTCAGCTCACCCAGGTTATCGTGGGGCATCATCGGGTCATGGTTCTCACGGTTCTCATCAGGGCCATTCATCACTCAGTGCCCTTCTAGCCCAGAGTTTGTCCCGTGCTCCATCAGTTCAGGGTTCTTCCATGCCAGGTCCTTCTACTAGTCATTCCGGTGATAGGGGTTCCCTTCAGTCCCCATCTCCAGCACTGGGGAGTTGCTATGAGTGTGGAGAGTTTGGGCATATGAGGAGGTAGTGTCCTCGTCTTCATGATGGTCCGTCTCAGCAGAGGAGTCAGCCCTCGACTTCAGCTCCACACTTCACCACCCTGCCCAGCCAGCTAGGGGTGGAGGTCAGTCAGCCAGGGGTCGCTCTAGAGGGGGAGGTCGATCAGGCGGTGGTCAGGCTCGTTTCTATGCCCTTCCGGGTAGGCCAGATGTTGCTGCTTCAGATGCCGTGATTTCAGGTATTGTCTCAGTCTGCCATAGAGATGCCTCTGTATTATTTGATCCCGGTTCCACCTTTTCTTATGTGTCATCATACTTTGCCCGTTATTTGGATACGCCCCGTGAGTGTTGATACCCAATTTTTCCCTTATCTATTTTTATACTCAAAATATTCTCAAAATAGCATGTACATGCATATACAAGTATGCCCAAGAATTTTTGACATTTTTCTAAATTTTAAAGCTTTTAAAAATCATTTTTATTATTTTGTTTTAACAGTACAAAACCCAATAATTATTCCCAAAACTATCATTTTGGTGAGTAATTTATTTCCATCCTCCTATTTACATCACAATATAATTAAGGTAATTTTTTGCATATTTTTTTATATAAATCTATTTGATATTTTAAGCTAAAATTGCATAAAATTGCAATTATAGACTATATTGCGATTAATAGCATCTTACAATTATAAAATTACTCCCAGTATTTTTAAATTAATATTTATATATTATTAATTAATTCAGTGCTTTTAATTTATTTTTAAAAATCGTTTTAACTATTTTAATCAAACTAAAAAGGGAGAAATTGGCTATTTAATACATAGCCTATTGCGTTTCGATTATAGCCATATTAAACCCCCAATTTAAACTCAATTTTACCGGCCCAAATCCTAATATCGACCCAACCCTGACCCAATTCATAATACCCGACCGGATCCCCCCTTTAATCACAGTCATTGATCTAAAAGATCAAAGGCTCAAATTAAACCTTTCCTTTTTAATTCACCGACTACCCCCAACCCTAATTCATTTCCACCCTTCAGCCGCCCTTGAATCCCCAAATTCTCTCAAGGTTCTTCGGAACCCTAGCCTCCCCCTACCTTGTTCCACCGTGTTTTCGCCGGAGTCCATGGCTTCTCAGGCCATGGACAGCCTATACTCACCTCCTACGGCTCCTACATGCCTGTTGCTCGAAGGTTCGAGGCCAGACCTCGAGGGTCTTCACTCAGACCTTCACCGATTCAAGGATTCCGGCCATCTCCGACCTTGCTCCGGTGGCTCTTGGTCATCTGAGCCTGATTCTGACCTCCGACTTAGATCGAACATTTTCGAAGCCTTTCTCACTCTAGGGTTCATCTGAAACCCTAACTATGAGGTTCTCTCCGATTATTTTTAGACCTGTTAGAAAAATTATTAAGAATATATTAATACTAATAAAAAGATAAAAGAAGAATAAATAAACAAACCCAAACACTTCTTCAGTTCTTCCAGCCCTTCCGTCCCCTTCTCCTCCCATTACTTTTTGTTTCTTATCCTTATATTTTTCACGTCCCAAACCCCATCTTCCCTCTCCATTTTCCCTCTTTATTTTTCATTATGTTCTCTATTTAAAACGAATTTAGGGCATTTTCTTCTTCTGCTGAGTAAAAGAATTTAGAGAGAGGGAACAAAGATATAGAAGATAACCCACAATTTTATGGGAAGCAAATCACTGGAGAAGTTGCCGGAGAAAAAAGAATCGACTTTCTGAGATTTGAAATTGGGTCAAATCGATAGCAAAGAATTTGGTTTTCCTATTTATTGGCTCTTATTCTTCGAATCAATCAATTAGTTTCCAACCATTTGAAGTGAAAAATGTCTTTCAGATAAAGTGATGGTTTCTTTGTGAAGCTGGGGGAGATGGGAAATGGATTTCTGTTGCCGGATGGGTGGAGTTTGATTTGATCTGAAAGTGATGGATTTTGAAAGTCTCTTAGAAATGGTTTTAAGAAAAATAATGAAAGGAAAATAAAGTTGATATTTTGAAGAAGAAATATGGCACCTGAGGAATTTTTTTTGGTGATTAGTCCAGTGGAATGATATTAGTGATGGTGGAACTGGTCTTAACCTATGAAGAAGAAAGAGAAAGAAAAAAGAAAAACGAATTTTATAAATTGAAAAGGTTGGGACCCACAAATTACATGTGTCAAACAACAAGAAACTAAGCATATGACATTAACAAGCTCAATTGGAGGTGTTTATTAATAACTATTTTGTACAGTAAAAGTGTTAAAATGGGAAATCCGTAAATTTATTTACCGGCTTAAAAAATCAGTACAAGTTTAGATGGTAGGGAAGCCATTTTGCCTAAATTATTTAGTTAAGTGTGAATATGAGTGTGATGCACTCTCCTTAGTCCCAGGGAGGCACGTATCAAAAGAGAAAGTAAGAGGGAAATACACCGACTGAGATGCAAGCAATTACGTCCTCGAAAGAAGCTAGAGGTTATATTTACAATCACTTCTACTTGATTTTACAACCAGAATCTAAGTTAAACAGTATCAAAAGAAAGTCCTCAAAAGAAACTAGAGGGTTATATTTACAATCACTTCTACTTCAATACAACTATAGTCTAAGTTAAGCATGGAAACCAGAGGGTTATATGTACAATGGTTTAGACCTAAATACCACTAGAATTTAAGTTAGGCACTGTAACAACAAGTGGGCTGAGTCGTCAACCATCAAAATAAGCAGCTACTATTCTTCTCAATCACAGCCTTCGAAGCACAAGTCAAACTTTAGCTGGCTTTCGCTGCAAATGGATTGATCTGTCATCAGCTCCTGAAGTGCACACAAGAGAAACCTTCACTTTAGCGTAAAACCAACCGACTATTAATTTCAAAGTAGGCAGCAAAACTGATACTACATCCACAAAAGAGAGGGAGTAGAATCTTTAATAAACTAATTCCTGTATAAGGCTAGTCTTAGAAAGAGATGGTGCTAGGAACAGGATAAATTTCTTTGATTTGTTCGTCGCTACACAATGAATGCTTTTAATTCTTATCAAGCAAGGAAGGAGATCAAGAAGCTCGGGGGATATATAGCACGAGTTACATGCATGCAGGAGTGAATTGGGACCAAATATTCCGGTACTGTGTAAGGGTTTTCCCCACTTGTATTCTGATTTTTTTTTATAAGGAACAAAAAAGCTTGTATTCTGAAAATTTTAGGGTATTTCTCATCTTGGATAGAGTCCAAAGTAAAGTTGCTCGTTAGAAGGGGCTCAAACCTATATATTAGTGTAACCATGTAAAACTAAAAGCTGAAAGAATTTAGAAAAATGTTTTCCGTGAGGATAAAACTGATCTAGAAAGTCTAGTCTCTCATTTTTGATTGACTCTAGAACATCATCTTCCATTTTTCCACGAAGAAACTTTGTGCTAACATAGGCAACAGTAGTAAGATTTACAGTTTACTTCTTTTGTCTGTGGATTGCTCTTGTGCTGTCTAGATCCAATATTTTGAGAGAATGATAAGTTAAATGATGATACAACACATGGAATGAAAAATGAGAAGTTAGACGAAGATATGCCACATAGAATGAAAACAGAATGACTGAAACGAGAAGTGCCACAGCCCACGGGAATGCTATGCGGTAGAAAGATAAGTAAACTGCTATGAGTAGAAAGATACATAAAAATGTGAAAGGCAAAATCAATAGGATGGTTATATGACCAACAATATTACGTTAGAACTGATGTTGCAATCCAACATATCCACAAAATGAATATTGCATAAACGGAATGACGGCGTACTTATACAATTGGACATATAATTAGAAATGATTACATTCAACAGAAAGTGCAACTAACACAGGGAAGATAAAATGAGAGAATGCCGTCAGAGATAATTTAGCCATGTCCTACATAGATCTTTAGTTACATCAGATGTTAAGTGTGATTTTTTGATGATTGAAAGTGGTCACATGCAAAGTATATTTCTTATCACTGCATCTCGGGTAGTTATATTTCTTAACATTCAAGTAAATCAATGCTTATCCATGTTTGATCAAGGATAAGGATATAATTGAGCAAAGGAGAGCAAAAAAAAGTATAGAGAAGAAAAAGTAAAATAACAAACAATAATGACAACAGAAATGCAACTGCTTTTCTAAAAGGTAACAAAGCTCAAAATATCACCTCAAAATCTTCCTCAAAAATATCATTGATGCTTTGTTTCTTCAAGATGTTATCGTTTGATGTTGAACTTGTGATAGCTTGATTTCGCTTCCTTATTTTAGCTTCATTATCAAGAGCTTCCTTTTTCTTTTCTTCTAAGTCAACAATCTGCATATTTGAGACGTCATATGAGAAAAAATTTAACAAAAAATGGAACAAATCTAATATTATGAGAATCCTGCACATTGTAAAAGAATGCTACAAAATGCCAGGCCTAACATTCTAATTCTATTTTTTTTATTGGTGGCATTCTAATTTCAGTTAAAAGTTCTAACCCTATCTTCAGTAACAATGGAATGGAAGAGAAAAGAAGGGACAAATACAAAGACAGAAAATAGAAGACAATAGGAAGAAAACTAGTGGATCCATAAATTGTTACTCTCTGCTTCCTTTCTCTTTATATTGTTAAAAAGTACGGAAAGAGTTTTTTTGTATTCTTTTCCTTCAATTCCCTTCTCTTTCCTAGTTCCAAGTGAAGTCCTAAAGTTAGAATTAGCATCTATAATAAGACTGAATCTCAGCAGATTTCTCACTGCAATCCCACTAAAACCAAGGCAACAAAATATGGTTTTACATAAATCATTCTCCAAATTCTAGCAAAACATTTAAACTCGACAGCCATTTTTCCGGCACAAAAGAAAGAGAAGGGGTCCACAAAGTTATACAGAACTAGCAGGAAAGAAGATCTGAATGAAATGAATTTTAATTATACACCCAATGTGCAGTCGCATTACTGGGGGACAGTTTTGAATGTTTCTCCTACTTCATGATTACCTTATATTTGCATTTGCAGCCATGTATATGAGAATTCTCAACTTCTCTCCAGTAGAATGTTTACACCATTAGTAATTTAATTAATCCATGTGATTGGTAAGTAAGTGGTGATTATATAGAGACTAGAGTTACCTATAATTACCTTTTAAATGACCCGGTTGTGTAAAACTTAGCTCAAGTATACGAGTGACATTAAGATGTCCTTTGGGGTTTTTTCTAGGTAGACATTGAAATAAATGAATACGTAAATTCCAAATGAGCATTATAAACTGTCAATGTCCTTTGGCTGGAAACGGTCTGCTTTTGCAATATCAAGCTTCAAAAGTCTTGTTACGTTTACTTCTATTTTGCTGATTGGCTAGAACGGTACTACTTGTTCTTTTGAGATAATGGAGAAATCCCTGAGGCCAGTGTTGCACGAAACTCGGTGGATGATGGCTTCACCCCTTTATACTTCTCCACTTAATACCAAGCTTTTGTTTGAGGTAGGTGTTTACCCTGGAATCCGGATAACAATTGAATTTATATGGGGTTTTAAGGATCCGTGAACTAAAAGATACAAAAGGTTTGGATTGAGGAAAATAAAAGATAAAGACTCAACAATTGCTGCTGAAGTAAATAATCGCAGAATATAATTGTATTGGGTGATACCCTTTTTGCTTGAGCCCGACCGGGTTGGGTCCGGTCCGGGGCAAGTCGGGGCCATCGAACCCGACCTGGATGCAAGGTAGAACGACGGCCACGTCAACAACCGAGGTCGAGTCATTTCAAGACCGTTGCAGAGCTCGATATGAGTCACCACCGGATGGAGAAACACACAAGGTCGGAAGCCGGACTCGTAACGGATAACCAAGCGTCGCCGGATATCTCGCCCGAACGTGATTTTCTCAACCACTTCAGGCCATTAAGGCGTAATTACAGGGATCCACGATGTAATTAATTTACCTACCTTATTTTTACCCTTAATCAGAATGTATAAAAGGGGAGAAGACCCCATAAAGAGGGGATCGGAAACCATTACACTACGGTACCATCTCTCTCAATTCTTGTACGCTATCAAGCACAATTGTTCTAAGCAATATTATATTCTGCGATTATTTACTTTAGCAGCAATTGTTGAGTCTTTATCTTTTATTTTCCTCAATCCAAACCTTTTGTATCTTTTAGTTCACGGATCCTTAAAACCCCATATAAATTCAATTGTTATCCGGATTCCAGGGTAAACAGTTTGGCGCCCACCGTGGGGCTAAGGATATTAGTGAGCTCTTTGATACTCTTTCTTGACGCATCACAGTACACTGGTTCTTTGCAAAAGAGTCCATCTTACATTCAAATTACCAACTCATAGAATGGCACAATCAATCAACAACGAACTTGAACAGCAGACAGGAAACAATGGAATGCCCGGGCTCGAAAACCCGATAGATGCCGATTCCCGGATGGCGCTCAACACTGATCAGGCCTCCGGATCATCACATAGCGTCCGGGGTGAGGACGATTCGAGGGCCCAGGCAGTCGGCGAAGAGACTATCAACCTTAAAATGATTTTTGACATGCTGCAAGCCCAGCAATCGGCTATAGCTCAGCTCCAGAGCCGGGTCCAGGAGCCTGTCAGGTTCGAGGAGGCTCCCCGTGCAGCTGCAATCATCAATCCGACCCCAGTACAGCCGGAACGGGGTGGGCCGGATGCTGATTCTGCGGTTCTAGGAGGCTAGAAGATTGACCGAACGAATCGAAAAGGGGGAGGAAAAGATCGAGGCCAACGATAAAAAAGTAGAAACATACAACTCCAGGGTCGACCAAAAGTACCAGGTGCACCTCCGGGTACCTGAAACGGCCTTGAC